AAATGGACGGGGCAGTCAATGTTAATGTGGGAGAAAACTCCGACAACCGTCAGTAGGTCCACACCAATCAAAGGATTGAACCTCGCTCCACACACCCACACTGCTGACGGTGGAGGTTGACAAGAAAACACACCACCGTAATTACCAGCGAAACGTTGTACTGCTCAAATTGTAAACGTTGTGGATTTACTCTCCAACACACCGGTGTGCTGAAGTAGTAACTAATTTGCACGTTTTGTTTACGTGACAAACCTTACTCATTGGCTGTGTCGGGTGGTGGTCGGTTAACGATACATTTATACTATTTGGTTCTTTCGGTAAAGTCACCGAAAGAACCAAAGAGTATGGATTCCTGCAGTCACTAAAGCTTAAAATCAAAATACATTTATATTTACGCGATCTAACCCAAAAAAACCCCCTATATTATGTAATAATTTATATTCTCATTTTCCAGATGTCGTGCAGCAATGCGATTTGGATGTATTACTGCGTCTGTAAGCAGCGCCATTTTAAGACACTGGACAGATGGTGAGACCATGGGTTTCCCGAGGAAAGGAGGCATGTTCGTTGATTAACTTTGAAATTTTGCGATGAGAAAGAGATGCAGAGAATTTACTTGAGCATCAAACCATGCATGTACGAATCTGTCATTTATGACTTACAGAAAGTGCGTGTCAAATGCCTTTGACAAAATTCACTCAGTTTCATCAGTTCTCAGAAGCTAAGCAGTTTTGAGCCTGGACAGCGCTAAGATGGGCCACTGCCACGCACAACAGGTTGGTTATTGGCTGCGTTGCTCTGTTGTGGGAAGCAGCGGGCAGTGCAGAATAATGCATTGGTAGGGTGTGGGGAGGCCACCATCCAGCAGTGGATCGATAGAAGGGCCATACACGTAAGCCAATTATATGCAAATTGTACATTTCTGCCAATGGAATGAGGAAAATTGTAAAAAAAAGTAGAACCCCCCCCCCCCACCGGATAAACAATACAAACGAGGGAGCAAAAATAATTGATTCTTGACTCAAATCGGGACCTTGAATCGAGACAACTCATCTTATCGACTTGGGGTGGAGGGTGGGGTGAGTGGAGTGAATTGTGACAATCTCATTAAAATATGTCAAACCCATTTTAATACAAAAAAATCCTCCTGATGACGATCGTTTGCTTTTCTATCGAAACGTCGTAGTTTTTTGTAATTTTTTTGTTATTTTCTTTGAACCTATCTACGTGACTTTACCGAAAGACCCAAAGAATACCTATTTTAATTGTTAATGATGAAATCGGTCAGCAAAACACGTGTCATACGGAGGAGATTTGTTGGCTAGGCAACAGCAGAGTGGCAGCGTTGGGCTTTGCCATACAAAGGCAGTTTCATCGTCCCTACGGCATGGGAAGTTGCATTGAGCAAAATATATTGTGGGGCACAAAAAATGAATTTCAAACGAGGTTGATATCATCTTCTTTGGTTCTTTCGGTAAAGTCACGTAGAATGAGAATAAAATAATAAATTGATAAAATAAAATAACACAATAATATTCTCACGACGTTTCGGCCACAACACAGGTGATGAAGGCCGTCGTGAGAATATTATTGCGTTATTTTATTTTATCAATTTATTATTTTATTCTCATTCTACGTGACTTTATCGAAAGAACCAAAGAAGATGAATCATTGCAGTCACGAAAGCTTTAAATCGAGGTTGATATCAGTTCAGGGGTGGGGCTCACGAAACTCCATCTAGGATGCTAGGTGAGATTGAGGTTCAGTGAACAGCTGACACGTGCAATATACAGGGAAATTATCGTGACATTATTGACTGAGCAAAACGCCTTGGAACAGCCGGACAAAAACTGCGAGCGATGTCTGGCGTTTTCGTCTCCGTATTGCCAGCTCAATCGCACGGACGGACTCGCTCCCTTCACGGCTGCTCACATTGGGAAACTGTGAGCAATGCTTGTAAACTGGCTCACTGCGGTTTCGTATCTGGAAGCTTTGACCTTATTCTCTAGAATGTCAGACGCTCCGGAAAGTAAGACACATGCCAAACTTATGCGCGGTGTCAATAAAGTGAAACGAGTCTGGTAACACGCAAACACAGACACACACCTACCGGATTATTTAGATGGCAGGGTGGCGCAATAGCAAAACGTGTGCCTCGCAGCTGGTAAGGAGCTGGGTTCGAGTCCTAACTTCCGGAACACTGCCGTTCTACATGGGTTTCCTCCAGGGTCTTCAGCATCCTCCCATATCTAATCGACACAGTGTAAGCGGTGTTGACCAAGTGTCCAAATGCCGCAGGATTACTTGCAACGTACCTAATTGGGATTACGCACAGAGGCATCGCCCCACGACTGAGAAACTGCCGCAGACTGCGTCTGTGAAACACGGCACCTTCGTGATGATAGCCTTCTACTGAAAACACGGTGGGAATACCCAATTTTTTTTTTCCAAATACAGTGCTAGCGGGATGGGGGATGGGGGAAATGCGTCATATGAAACATATGCATGTCGGGTTGCTCTTAGAGAATTACGAGACGATCCCGTTTCGTTGCAAAGATATATTGAATGAGAAGACGTTTGTTGATACTGTGTATATAGCTTTTCGCATTTTTACTTAACATAACAACCAGCAGACGCGCGGATAAATTTAATCCCCAAACGATTACACAACGCTGTTTGGATTTACGTAACGTCTTAACTCGTGAGAGTCTCAAGATGCCGTACAGAATAAACAGACGAGGCGATTTTTTTTTTATCTCACTGGAATTTTGTTTAAAATAATAATTACACTTTCATTTGCCCAGGATGGCCTCGCTGAGTCTGAATCGTCGTGGCGCGCATTTGTTGACCGCGCGTGGGGAAAAACATTGCCTGCAGAACAAAATTGACGTCCGCAAGTGAAGAACGCTCCACATAACCGCCGCACGAGACTCGTCACCAACCCTGCTAGTTGCGGTGGCCCGCGGCTATCACCGCTTCATTGCACTCCCCCTGTTGGGCAGGGGCATCTCACGGCTGCGTTGGGCTTTCGAACGTGGCGCTGCGTCACTCTCCGACGTGTTTTCGCGTCACTCGCAGGGAGCTTTGCTTCACCCGTTCAAGGAGCTGAGCCAGTACGTGGGAGCGAAGCATCAGCCATCATGTCGAACGAAACCGCACACCGGGAGAGCAACTCTCGCCACAATTGCCAAGCCTGAAGATTTAAGCGGAGGGCTGGCGAACTCTAAACACATCTCGCCGCACCTATTTTCCATACAAATAATAATAATACTTCGTGTAATTTTTGACAACAACAAAAACATCCAAGCGATTTATGCTTTGAAAATTTATATGCGTGAGCTTAACAAAAACCCAGCAGTATACCACGTAAATCAGTACAACAGGAAAGCAGACGCACCGTGTCTCAATCCCTGCATGATCCACAAAACAGCCTCCTAGGCGCTGCATTAGAGGCTAGCACAGGGGTGGGCAAATTTTTTGACTTGCGGGCCTTAATGGGTTCTAAAATTTGACAGAGGGGCCGGGCCAGGAACAGATGGAGTGTTTGTGTGAACTCATATAAATGACGTGTAAATATCATTACATGAAAGGATTTGGCCTTTAACAGGTAGCAAAGCATTTATTTGCAAGGCAATTTAACAAATTGCACGAACATGAACAATACAAAACCATGTCGTAACGTGACTGATCAAACATCATGAAAACATCTGAGGCCTGCGCCCAAACCAATTACCTCACTTGAACTTCTTCATTATCTACATTAACAGGTTAGACAAGTTCGGCGGGCCGGATTAAAAAGCCCAACGGGCCGTATACGGCCCCCGGGCCGTATCTGGAAATGAGAAACTTAAAAATAATCACAGAAGTCACACCTTGTTACCCTTGCAGTCTCCACTGCTGTCAACGACCCCCCTCCCCCATGACCAGAGCGTGTTCCCCACGCAATTCAAACTTCATCTGTAGCCCAGAACCTTCGGGGGCCCTCCTCCTGTCAGCGGTTGTCGGTGTAGTTGCGTCACCACACCACCTGGGCTACATGCGGTACAAAATAAGTTAAACACACATGCAAAGATTCCCTTCCCCCCCCCCCACCTTATAGCCTTAACAGACTGTTGGGGCAAGTGCTCTTAGCGAACACTTATGAAGACCGGCATGGCCAGCACCACGTCCGACCGCCTTTGTCTCCCCAGTGGCGATGTTTACACACCGCACCAGGTGCTGCATTTGAGGCTGAGTTGACCTAGGGCATGAGGCCCAGGACTGGCCGTGTGCTAACCGCTACAATACCGTTCCCCGCACGTGCGCACGTACATACGCCGCACCGCTGTACGTGAGTTCGATTGAGTGTGCCTGCACCATCACCGCATGCTGAGTTCTGTGCACGCTTTAGGGGCGAGGGATGCGTGTGGTCTACAGAACTCAGTGGCTGGACGTTCGCACAGTGGAGGATGCGGACTCACAGTACAGGATCGAACAATTTGAAGTGTCCGCCGTGACGCTGCACCGCGGTCCCGTGTGTTTTCACGTTGTGCCGCTCAATCGGCAATAACACCTAGGCATTAAATACAGCACTGAATTAATTTGAATACTGTATGTGCCACAGTGTGTGTCACAATGCACCCACTCCCTCACAACTCCATTCCACCCGAGTGAGCCAATGAGTCGTCGCATTTCAGTCACGATTCGATGCAAGAAACGTTTTGTTTTTTTGCTGTCTGCTTTTGTATTGTTTGCGGGATTTTATTGTCTTGTTCGCGCATGTGTGTCCACTTGATTGGCTGAAATGTGCCTGTAGCAAGGCATTCATACGTTCAGTCACTGATGCATGTGTTCAGAATTGTGTTAATTTCCTTCGGAAGCTCCCATCGTGGTGAGGAACGTCAGACCATCCCGCCGAACAACCGAACGACATATCGGAAATCTCAGTTTCTTTCACCGGCCCTCCATGCCACCGCTGCTTCGTCTAATGGCGATTGCGCTTACGTTGTCTCTCGGCACAGCTGGCGAGCCCCAAGATCCTCGAGGACACGTACGAGCGCTGGAATGGCTACCGCAGAGAGTGTTACCAGCAGCAGGAGCTGCAGCCCCTGCCCATGGGTACGCACACCCGGCACGTCGGGGCACATGTGTGATGGATGCGCGGCGGTATGTGCGTGTACGTGCGTTGAACTTCTTTCGCACCGTACAAAGCCAACAGTTGCTCGTGCGAGGACGTGGCGTGGCATGTTGATCAGGGGGGAGGCAGCTATCAAGGGGGGAGGCAGCTATCAAGTGTGCAGGCAGTGCAACCACGGACCAGAGGGACCCAGGTGCCGGAGCTACGAAGAGGAGGGGGGGGGAATTGGATGGGGAGAGGTCCCATTTCATTCCGTGTATCAGGGCCCTTGCCAAGCCACACTACACTCTCGGTGTGGACCAAAGCTAGTGCTCTGCTCACACTTGCTTCGATAGTCGTTTGTCTGTAGTTATTATTAGACTCCCCGAGGTAGGCTAAGCCTAACGTTTGGATTATTCAGCATCAAGCAGATGAATGTGGTAAGGTTTTTTTTGGGCTCTGGGGAATCCGACTGCATTTTGTGCCAGGATCATTTGGCAACCGCATCTCTGATCTTGGAAGCTGAGCAGGCCTTGAGGCTGGTTAATATTTGGATGGGAGGCTGCCTGGAAATATCAGGCGTTGCAGGCTTGGGCTACGGCATTGGAATCACATCTTTCTGCACTTAGCTTTGAATGCTCCTTATGAGTGGGGTATCTTCGGGTTCTGCAATTCCCTCCCACATGCCAAACACGCATGAATGGAATAGGTACAAAATGCTAATGCAGGACCCTCCCTAGAGAGATTTGAGACTGTGCAAGCACACGTATATTCCTTGACAATAAATATCTCTGATTTACCTTTGTTCCCCGATTCATAACCTCCTTTTTCTGTGTACTCAATGTGACTCCAAATAATTCATTTGTCCACGAATCTTTGTACGACTCTTCAACTCTGCTCTGATGTTTAGCCAGTGTCTGGTCGAGACGTCTCATAGCTGCCGATATGCTACGATTGAAAGCGTTCCACTGGGGGGTTCAAACGTACTGCGCGAATGCGTAAGACAGCGAACAGCCGCTGGTGCAAATGAGACTCAATGGACTCTTGGGTTCCCGCGTAGTTAAATGAAACTTTGGTGACTCACCTAAACAGCGGCGCGGGCACGACATTGTGTTTTTTTTCCGGGCTGCAACCTTTACCTTACTAATCTGGCTGTCGCCTGATGAAGCTATTTGTAATTACTGGCGAAACGTCGTACTCAGATTGTAAATGTTGTGGCTTGGCTCTCCAACACACCGGTGTGCTGCTGTGCTAGTGACGAATTGGCCACGTTCTGTTCACGTGATAACCCTTACTAGTCGGCTGTGTCGGGTGGTGGCAGGTTTTAACGACACATTTATATATTTACGCGATCTAACTCCCCACCCCCCCCCCAAAAAAAAAAAAACCCTCTATTATGGATGATATTGGCCGCGAAAGCCTGCGAGTTACCTTACTCATCAGTCGAGGGTCGGCGCGGCATTGCGACGGGTGACCCTCGCGATCGCGTTGTCGACCTGCATAAACCATCGCGGCAAAAACAAAGCGAGAGGTAATTTAATTAGCAGCGGTCAAATTTTGTTTGAATGCACACTGGGGGGAGGGGAGGGGGCCAAACAAACAAACAAACAAACCCCCACACAATGCATGCGCACAAGTGTTACCGCTGTCAAGTCTCGCCTTCAAATTCGGCCTAGCCTAAATTCTCGCTTCAAAAGGTGCGTGATGGTTATGTGTTTATTTATTTATTTATTTCACCACGATGGTGACTTCGTTCCAAAACGAGCTGCGATGCCGCGGCGGTCCGACGGAGCGGAACGTGGTGCGTGCCTCGGCGTTGGCGTTGCATTTGGCATTGGCGGGGCTGTTGCTGATGGCGTTGGCTTTGGCATTGCCATTGGCGTTGGCTTTGGCATTGCCATTGGCGTTAGCATTGCCATTGGCAATGCCGTTAGCGTTGCCGTTGACGGCTCCCGTTGTTCACCTGAAGCATCTGCGTTTTTGTGTTTTTGGTTCATTTATAGATCGAAATGTAAATTTTGTCTCGCAAAACATTGCCGATCGATTGATGTCTTCTCTTTTGAAAGCCAATTGTAAAAAAGAAAATTGAGACTGTTGCGTTTGTCATCGATATGTCGTCGTTCTTACAGATCTTTTCAGCTTCATCAGTGTCAGCAAGGTGATGTACAATTGTGAACGAGTTAGGCAAACGTCATGAAGATTCCGGGAGTAATCCCAATGATGCCTCGTCTTTTTAAAAAATTGTCAGTTTGACAAAGAGCATCAGCCAGCGTGCATGGATACAAGAGCATTTTGGTTCGCTGTTTTATAATAGGTGGTTGATCAGAGCGGGTCGCGTGTGGTGGGGCAAGGTGTGGGTACTCACACCTCGTCCAACATGTCTGGCTAGTGAGTGGGCCAAAATTACCCTCCGTCAAAATACTCTCGCGTGTTCCCTTTCACGGAGGTTGTTCCACCAGCAGTGGTACGAGCGGGCAATCGCAGGGCTGCACCTTTATCTTTTGTCCTTTACATATATATAAAAAAAAAACTTCACTTTAGTCCATTCGTTCAGCTGTGCACAGCTCACTTGCAAGAGCCTGCTCTGCCCATATGTAGAGATGAGCCATCTCCTTCACAAATGGAAGGCGAAAGTGTTGGCTCGTTGCGAATGTGGCGAAGTGCGATCTGTTCATCATGGAACCGAGCAACGCCCATGGCACGATTACACAGGCGGTGTGCACGCTGCAACATCAATCTACTTGTGATGCCATCGGACGGATTGCCCACCTCAACACATTGCTAATAACGTTATGCCAGTTGCTCTGTTTAATGCTATATGAAAGAAGATGGTCGCTGCGTAGATTAATATGTTAGTCGCAGCGTGGCTCTGTGTTGTTACTTGTGTAGAGGAGTATTGTGAGTATACTCTTTGGTTCTATTGGGTAAAGTCACGTAGGTGAAAATAAAATAACAAAAAAAAATTCACATACGTGACTTTACCCTTTACCCAATAGAACCAAAGAGTATGGATCCTAGCAGTCACGAAAGCTTTAAATCTAGAAGAGTATTGTGAGTAACAATGAGGGTGGCGAACAGGTACGAGCGGGTTGACAGTCAAGGATGATGTAATGTCACGGGTGGTGTAAGAGGTACCTTGGGGAACGAAGGCGGGTCCGAGCTTGGGGGGAGGAGCCGCCCGAGGGGTTCTTAAGGGGGACCCCGTGACGGAGGCGTGGTCGTTGTGGGGAGCCAGGGTAAGGATCGGCTGGAGAGAGCCCAACGGGATAGCCGAGGATAGGACAAAGTAGTGATCAGTGTCCCGGGGTAAGGACCGAGATAGAGAGCACCTACACTGGTGTGAGCATAGAGTGGGAAGTGTAACAGTGGTTTAATAAACGGCAACAGCCCTTGTGTTCCTCGTCTCCGCGTGGTCCCTCTGCACAACATTTGGAAGGAAAAATTCCGCTTCTGGCGCTTTTGGCCATGGTTCAGTAGGCGGCGGTTGTGTTTGACTGCTGGAATTCGGCAATCATTTGAGCAATGGCTGTGCACTCGGTCGGGCGTGTGTGTGTGTCAGAGACCGATGTAGAAACTTCCCTTGGGAGGGGATTGGTCCAGATATTTCAGGCTTTTAAAAACCGGGTTCTGCGGTAAAGATCAACGAAATACAATTTTCGGGGTCACAAAGGGGAACTGTGGTACAGTGATTCACGCACGATGCAAACAAAGAATGAGGTCTGGCGAGAGATATCTGAATTATGTTCCGTGCCTGCCCCAGGTTTACTCGTGCCTTCAATGAGTATCTTGTGTAGCGTGTGAACCTCGACGTTGGGGAGAAAATGGTGACGAGACATTGTGCCATCCGCTTCCATAGGTGTTCACGAACAGCGGTTGCCCCAAAAGTCTATGTGGGCTTCATGGGGTACCTTGCGTGTGTCTGTCCACGTAGCACACACAGCATCAATGCGTGGTTCATTTCAATTTGAGAAAAAAAATGTTGCGTGCTGTGCATGATCAAAGCTGTGTGGACGGGCTTTGATGATTCGAGTCCAGGAGTCTATTTTAGGTGATTTAGTTCGTACGGTCATGATCTGTGCCATCTTCATATATGCACAACACGTGGCTCAATTCGTTAAGGGGCTTCCAAATGGCTCTGTTGTCCATCTGTCTGTGTGCTTGCCACCATATCTTGTGTTGGTCTCTCTGTGTTTCTCTCACTCTCTGTCTTCCATTGTCTTCCAGTGTTGGTCTCTCTGTGTCTCTCTCACTCTCTGTTTTTGTCTTCCAGTGTTGGTCTCTGTCTCTCTTTGTGTGTTTGTTTCTCTTCATGTCTCTCTCTCTATGTCGTATAGCCTTAACATACTGTCTGTGTTTCTGTCTCTCTATGTATCTCTCTCCATGTCTTTATCTGTGTGTCTATCTCTGTGTTCCTCTGTTGGTCTCTGTATCCATGTCTCTCTCTCTCTCTCTGTCTTTAGGATCCTTTCCCCCCCCTGTCTGCACAGGGGCCAACTTAGTACTTAAATGGTGTGGCTCCTGGTGTGATGCGCATGCTAACACACGCACACACGCACACGCACGCACACACAATCACAAAAGACAAAGGCAAAGTTCCCCCCTATAGCCTTAAAATACAATTGGTGCAAGTGCTGTTGGCGAACGCGGGTGGGTGGCCAAGTACCGTGCCTGACCGCCTTTGTCTTCCGAGTGGTCATGTTTTTTACAAAGCACCAGATACTTAATTGAGGCTGAGTCAACCGAGGGGAGGCCCAGGACCGGTTAAGATAGAAGTCATTGGTGTTGGCCCATGTTTGAAGCCTCAACAGACTAGAGGCAAGTGCTGTTAGCGAGCACCTATGAAGGCCGGAACGGTACACGAGGGGGTGGGTGGCCAGCACCACGCCCGACCGCCTTTGTCTCCCCAATGTCGATGTTTACACACCGCACCAGGTACTCATTTTAGGCTGAGTCGACCTAGGGGAGGCCCAGCATCGGTTCAGATAATCGTCACTGGTGTTAG